TACAGCATGGAGCACTGGATGTTATACGCAAACAATGAATCATGGAACACTACATCAAAAACTAATGATGTAATGTATGGTGATTAACATAACATAATAATAAAAAAAATAAAACTTCCGGGTTAAAAAAAAAAAAAAAAGGAAATAGGACTCAACTGCCTCTAGGGACTCAATTGCCTTTATGTTATTACTTTGCTAAGGGCAAAAGGCAACCTTAGGGGTGCCTGGGTGGCTCACTCGGTTAAGCGTCTGCCTTCAGCTCAGGTCATGGTCTCAGGGTCCTGGGATGGAACCCCACATTGGACTCCCTGATCAGCAGGGAGCCTGCTTCTCACTCTCCCTCAGCTGCTCCCCCTGCTTGTGCTTGCTCTCTCTGTCAAATAAATAAGTGAAATCTTAAAAAAAAAAAAAAAGAAAAGGCAACCATAGCCCGACCCCCAGGATCCTGTAAGTCTACTTTAACATATAAAAATTCCTTTAGAAATTTCCTTTATCTCTAAAACCCCCCAAGATACGTACTGGCAATCATCCCTCAAACATATGACCCACCAAAATACATCCTCAGGATCTCATGACTAAGGTTTTATTAGACAGTAATAAACAACCTTTCCCCAACAATAGCTAGCCCCCTCAAAGTCCTGGAAACCTTGCTTCCAAAATTCCTCAAAGACTTATGCTATCACTAACCCCCTCCCAACTTGAAAGTATATAATGGGCTGCTCCTCATGACCCCGCTGCAGCTCTTTCTGTCCACGGGTTCTGTCCCCAGGTTTTAATAAAACGGGTCCTGTCCCCAGGTTTTAATAAAACCACCTTTTTGCACCAAAGATGTCTCAAGAATTCTTTCTTAGCCATCGGCTTCAAACACTAATGTTCTTTCCTACATCAATTTGAAACATATTTTGAAATAATAAGAAGTAATATTTATAAAGAAAAACGAGGTAGTTCTGGAATTCTGAATGTTGGTTCCATGCTTATTTCACTTTCATATATTCAAGTATATCTGTGTATATACTTGTAAACCTGGGTATCTGCCTACACAGAAAACAGGTCAATATATTATATACCAAAGCATATGGGAAAATAATTAGACATAAAATTTTGTATGCAAAGGACAGTGTTTAGGTGTCTGGATCCTAATGGATGATGGCTTATTTACCCAAGCCAAGAGGGGTCACCCCCTCTTTACCACAGTCTCTGCAACACCTATTCAAGCAAGGTATCAGCCTGCATAGCCAATCAAGCAAGTAATATCCATACTGAAACCCTGTGTTGCTAATGCATTAACTTTCTCACTCCACACCACTCACTAAGCAGACTAGACAACAAAAGATAAGTCACCTCTACACCTAGTATGCGCCTGAAGGATAACAACAATTTTATTTTATTTTTTAAAGATTTTATTTATTTATTTGACAGAGAGAGACAGCGAGAGAGGAAACACCAGCAGGGGGAGTGGGAGAGGGAGAAGCAGATTTCCCGCGGAGCAGGGAGCCCAATGCAGGGCTCGATCCCAGGACCTTGGGATCATGACCTGAGCCGAATGCAGACATAACGCCACCCAGGCGCCCAGGATAAAAACAATTTTAATTCCTGCATCAAGCAATCCTCAAAACAATACCTTGATAGGCTGAAAAAATCAGAATATTAGTCACCCACCTCTCAAGTCTCATTTGTAAAGAGTTTGGTGAAAGAAGTAAATATTCTTGTAGGAATTTACCAGTAAAAACATTTTTCCTCAACAAGTTTAGCAATAAGTACAATGATAATCTTATGTATGTTCCTATATTTCTGTCATCTGAGAAAATTATCTGTTCTATTTGATTCTTAAGTTGTAATGGTTGAAGAAACCTGGAGAATGATTGACAATATCTGTTTAAAAGGCTGTGAATTTCATGTAAAATTAAATTTCTTTATTGGAAAAATCAAAATTGTTAGAGTGTTATATTTAATGACAAAAAGAGACTATCTAAAACATGTGATACTTCCCCCTAATGTTAGAATAAAATTTGGCAATTATTGTGACTTAAGTTTTAGTTAGGCAATATTTATATTATTCTAGAAATTTCTATAATTGATCTAGGAACCAATAAGACTTGAGAAAATTTAGGTAAAAAAAATCATACAGTTTTCCAATTCCACAGTTACACATCCTTGGACAAGTAATTTAACCTCACTGTTCTTTATTTTCCCATTTGTAAATAAGAGTAATATACCTATTTTATGTATGATTATTATTATAATTAAGTAAAATAGTATGCATAAAGCACCATATTAAAAACTGAATATGAAAAGTATATGCAATGTATTTTTTGAAAATATTACTGATAATATTGCTATAGATATACCTAAATTAATATACAAAAATTAAATTTACAAAAGAGATAAAAGGATAATGTACATTATTTTTAAGTGCATTCCCTAAAATAGTCCCTAAGAGGACTATTTTACTACAAAAATCCTTTACTTTTGAGCCTTCCCAGCCATTTGAAAGATGGCTAGATGTAAAAAAACTACAATTACACACAGTAGAGTGTAGCAGGAAAAGCAACGGCTTTGTTGTGAAAAAGATCCAGGGTGAACCCTTACCAACCTGTGATTTTAGGTAAGTTATTTAACTTACCTGAGTCACCATGTACTTAGTGGAAGAATAAAAGCATCATCATGTATTTGCCAAAGCTTGAGGGAAGACTGAAGTTCTGCCCTGTGGTATGTGCTTAATACATTCTTTAAATTTTAGAAACTCACTTACTTTATAAAGCAAGGTAAATGTTTGCAGTAGCACCACATGCAAGGAATTTAGGCTGAAAGTTACTTCTATTTGAAACACAATTATATTGCAAAAGGTTTAGCACAAATGTGGAATCCCATATGTATTCAATAAGAATACAGGAATATTCATTATTCAAAATATTTTTAAGCATTAATAATGTCTCCTTTTAATGTCTTTTTATGATTATTATTATGTTCAATTAGCCAACATATTTTTGAGCACCTCATCTACCGAGTCTGTGCTAGGTATTAGAAGCCAATATTTCTGACAAAGTCACAAATGAGGGGTAGTTGCCTAACATCCTTTATTTCCAACTCTGTCTTATACCATAAGAGGCTTAATTAACAAGAGCTAATGCCTCCAGGATATAGAGCTGTTTCAGAAAAAAAGAATTAATTAATTATTAATACAATAAAATACAACAGGAGCCCAACTGCCAGGTTTACTTATGCCAGCTCTCCTTGCCTGACTTCCCTCTGCAGATTCACTCTACTCTCCAACCTGCTGGTCAGAATACCAGGTTCACTCTAATACTTTAAGTACAGTACAGTGCAATAAAGCAGGAAACATCATTCTACACAAAGCTCTAAGACTGACCTCCTTAAGACAACAGAAAAAACAATAATGAGATGGTCAGGAAAAAGTAAAAATTCCTCAAGGGCGAAATGTATTTTCTTAGATCCATGCAAGCAAACATGTTTACAGAATTCCATCTCAGGAACAAAATGTAATTGTGTTGACAATGAACACTATCTTTTTCCATATCATGAATGCTAAAATGTGACTATACTTTTGAGAATTTGCTTTGACAGCTCAGATTTTTTAAATCAGTGTTTCCTCATACCCAACTACCACTGCCTTAGGTGACCCTACTAAAATATTAACAACACTATGTTCTCTATGTTATGTAATAAATACTATGGATATTGTAGTATTTAATGTAAAGGATCTGAACTAAGCAAAAAGAAAATCAAAGCCCTTCCTCTAGACAATATTTATGGTGACACAGTCTCTCAGCACAATTTATGCTATTGATCCAAAAGTGCTACTCCAGGTCTATACATCTGAAGAAGTTTCAGACCAATATTGCAAACTCTACTACCAGTTCATTAGGGAACACTTAATAACAGTTTTTGTTTCCCCACATAACCCATACCTGCAGAGGTCAGAGAATGAATATGCATCTGATTATTTTCTCCTACATATCATCCAAGTGTGATGTAGGAATTTGAGAGACTTAATTTCAAGTTCTTCTGTTTTGTGGTCACATAACTTCTCTGGATATCAATTTCTTCTTCACTAAAAATGCTGATAATAAAATCTATTTTATAGCATTGTCATGACAATAAAACTAAATAATTTATTCAAAGTCTTAGAACATAACAGACCCCCCCCCCAAATAGTAGCTCTTATTACTGAGGAAAGGCCAGGTGAGGTATCAGTGCCTACCAGGAGAGGAGAGTAAGAAAGGGGCTATTCAATTCAGAGCATCCAGAATATCCAGGGTCCTCCCTGTGGACTGAGGCTCGAAACGTCACTAAGCTCAGCTGTGAAGGAGAAAAGCAAAACTGAGAAAACCAAGCAGACATAGACGAAAATATGACTTAATTGCAAGAGTTAACACCTTTTCTTTTTCTGAATTTTCTAATTGCATTTTAATATTCCCTTTTCCAGAACAGCCTGTCAGCCCTATCATCCCTCCAGGGGATAATAAAGATCTTTTTAATGATGCATAGCTATCTGCTGGTGATGCTTGGGTGTTGCTAAGAAATACCACAAAATAATTTTTACTTTCTGCAAATACCCAAATATGTCCACAGATTAGCTCATTCATAACCCAAAAAATCATCACTCCATTGTCAGAACATTGAGGTGGCCTGGTACACATTAGAGAACTAAAAGGAGTAAAACAGCCAATCAAAACCTCATCCTTTGATTATAAAGAACTATATCAAAGGCCACTTCACAGCTTGATACAAGAGCTAAATTGGCTTGCTAATTGAACCCAGTGTTAGGCCGATTTACCTTATCCAGTCACAGGCATTGCTGGATAAGAGCAGGTAAGACTTAAAGCACAGAGGAGCTGAAGAAAACCGCTCCATAAAGACAGCCTTATTATAAAAGAAAGGAAGCTGAACTGTGCATGCTCAGTTGATCCTTCCCAAATTTACATGTTACAGTAGTCGCCCTTTATCTACGGGGGATCGTTCCAAGACCCTCAGTGGATGCCTGAAACTGCGGATAGTATGGCACCCTATATGCTATGGGTTTTTTTTCCCTATAAATACATACCGACGACAAAGTTCAATCTATAAATTAGGCGCAATAAGAGGTTAACACTAATAACTAGTAATAAAATAGAACAATTATAACAATATACTGTAATAAAAGTTACCTGAATGCGGGCTCTCTGAAAATGTTTCATGGGGCTGTACCCACCCTTGTGCTGATGCAAGACGATAAAACGCCTGCGTGACGGGATGACGTGAGGGGAATGACGCAGGCGTTGTGACGTAGCGTTCGGCTGCTACTAACCCTCTGACGATTCGTCCTGTGGAGAGTCATCTTCCTTCAGACACGCGTTGACCACAGGTAATTGAAACCTCGGATAACGAAACCGCTTTTCGGCGGGAACTTCTGTATTTCTGGGGCAGGGTAAAAGGGATGGAGACAGGCCAGCATGGCCACCGAGTTGCCTAAACTAGAAGAGTTCCCTAAACTGAGTTCTCTGAACTGGAAGAAATTTTCAGGAATGAGGTAAGAAACATTCTCCCTTAGTATCTACAACCAGAAAAATGAACTGAAAGCCCTAAGAAATGTAAGGCCATATTACATTAATCTATTACCAAGTAGTGGGATCAATTCCTAAAAGGTGTCATGTTTTACAAAAGTTAAAATTCTATTTAAGCATAGCTTCAGGCATAATAATAAAAGTTCTGGAAGGCATCTGCATCCCAAGCAGAGCATATAATAACTGTCTCCAGTAGAACATCTCTCACTTGAGTCATAACCCAAATCATTCAGGGCATACTGTTGCCATGTTGTGTCTCTAAGGGGCTAGACAAATCTCTTCCCTTAATTAGTTTGAAACAAATTAAGGAATGCACACAGATGCCAGATAGAAATTAAAATACCTGCTTTTTTACTAGTAGAGATGGAATAGAGACCTATGGCTTGGAGCTGTGTTCAAAATTAAGCTTCCCACTCATTTTCTGCAAACTGAGTCTAGCCACCCCAAATTTCTTGTGTCCTCTGCACAGGAACAGAGCCTACCCGGGTAGGTGTCAGTTTGAAGGCAGAGAAATGGCAAAAGAAAGAAAATTCCACTGCTTTCACCCAGCAAGAAAAGGCAGGTCACATTGTTAGAGGGATGTTTAACTCTGTATTTTCACTTACAGAGGAAAATGAACACATGATGGCAAATCCTTGTCATCTTACCAAGAGATAAATCATTCCTCTTTACACAGGGAGGAGTTAGCAAAAAGTGCAACAGAGTATAGAAGCCCCATACTTTCAAAGTATAGAATGTGGGCAGAAGGAAAAAGTCATCTTCCTTACATATTACAGTGATCTGCAGAGGCAGATTCTGCTGTACGCATTGCCTTTGTGGTGGGTATGAATTTTAGTCCATATTTTCATGTGTGTGAGAAATCTAACTTGTTTAGTTTTTGTGTAACTCATCCTAATTCTTTTTGTAAGAAGAAAGTGACTATTTTCCCAATTTGCCCTGGTCAGTCGCACTTTACATATGCTAATCTGGGTGTAATTATCAAGAGTTCCCCTTTTCACCCTCAAAAGTGTCCATATTTGGGGGTGCCTGGCTGGTTCAGTCAGGAGAGCATGCGACTCTTGATCTCAGGGTCATGAGTTCAAGTCCCACACTGGGTGTAGAGATTACTTAAAATAAATACATACATTTTTTAAAAAGTGTCCCTTTTTGGACCATAAATGATATAGTCTTCATAATAGTAAGCTTATTTCAATGGTGGTAGAAACTTACTCCTAGTCAGTCCAGAGGGGATCTCTTTTACCCTGGTGGCATGGGACGGGGCCTTGGCTTCATAGGGCATTCAGAGAGGAAGATACTAGATCTGAGTGAGCAGCTTGCTACTCTGGCATTTGTATGGACCCCTATTCTTCTCTGATCTCAGGTGTCAGCTGATCAGGCTGCAGCTTCTTAGGTTTCACTCCTGTCCAAAAGGTCCCCTAGGGTTGAGCTCTGTTACTTCAGGTGCAGGGGAGTCACCATGAAACTACCCACACCATACTGGCATAAGGGAAATTAGGAAGCTAATGCCCTCTGTCACTTTCACACTTCTCTCTGGCACATAGAAATCAGTCCTCTGCTCTTCTGTCACCCTGGCCCCACTATGGACCCAACTTCCTTGCTTGGGAATCACTCTACTATTTTTGCCTCTCACCAGGACACATGAAATTTTGTAAAACTCTCACCTAGGTCTTGCCATTTCCTCAGGCTCCATCAGGAGACAGGTGTCACATACACTTGCTTCTCTCAGATCCTATGGAATCATCCAGGGCTTTGTACTAACTGCACCCACTTCCAGTATAGTTTGGCCCAAGAAGGAAGCACAGGATCTACTAGTAGGTAGTCAATAAGTATAGTTATTATCTTTATTAAGTCTCCACTTCATCATCTACAAAAAGGTATGATAAAATCTATTTTCTCGATTGTAGCAAAGTTCAAAGAGGTCAACATTTATCAAAAGCAAATTACGAAGTATATTTCAGTACTGTTTTTCCCTTCTGTGGGTTCCTTGAGGGAAGTGACCATGTTTTAGTCTTCATTTTTATCCATACCATTCCACGCAGTAACTTCACACAGTGAGCTCAAATAACATTTTCAGTAAAATGATCACCTAAAACATACATAAAACAAGTTTATAACATGTGTGAAAAATATTTATTTCCCATCAAAATAAGCAGGAATGATGTCATGTAGACATTTATAGCCCCCAGAATTGAATACAGTGATAAATAATAACATGAAAGTAATGAATATTTGTGGGGTGATTGATTCATTTTATCCCAATATGCTTATTTGGCCATCTATGGCTCTTGAAGCAAGACTGACTTTGAGAATGCCTAATTTGTCTTACAGAAACAATAAAAAAATTAAGTTCAAAAAAATCACTAATATTTTGGAAGTATTATTTCCAAATTTGGAAATATAGTAAGTTAAAACTATGTCAAGGAGACCCAAAAATACAGTGGCAAGGGAAAAAAAATACTCATTTCTCTATCACATTTTAGAAAAGTTAGGCTGGTGGTTTTGCTTTATACAGTCATTCAAGGACCCAGGTTCCTTCTATCTTGGTTCACAGGGTGGCGGGGGGGTCCCCTAGGATAATGTCTTCATGGGCATAGAAGAGGCTGAATGGCAGCTTGTCTGTGAGGGAGGGGATATGGCCCACACGTGGTCCCCTCATCTCTGTTCACATTCTATTGTCAAGAACTTAAGAAACTGGGAAGAAAGGGAGAACAGATTTTGGTGGGCAACTAGCACACCCAATTATAATAATAAAGACATTTTTTGTCTCAAATAGGGTAACACAGTTTAACTTACAAGCAAACTATAGCCAAAACAACACTTTTGCAGGCCAGAAAAGCAAAGGAGTTAATGTCCCTCTGCACCATTTATTTATATCTACCAATTATAATTTGTCAGATTTATATAGTATATAGTCAATAGACAGTGGGAATTTATTTTATAAGTAAGAAAAATAGAAGCTAGTCTATAGAAACTAGAGGAGACTCTCTAGGAGTCTCATAGAACCAAAAGTCTTAATAAAGAATGTTTGACTTAGGTTTATATAAAACCTACTAAAAATGGGAGAAGAGAAGCAGTAACTGAAAATACCTTATTTTAGAATCCATCATAGTTAGGATTCCTAAATTGAAGTAGTTTATAAAAATGAACACCAAAAGTACAAACAAAATGTCAATAATAAATAAAAATGACGAGGACCTAAGGCCTAATAACAAAAACCTTATTATTTAAAATAATAATACATTATCAATTCTTGTTTAACCTGCTAAACAAAGCAAGGAAAAACTAGCAAAAAGATAATAAAGTACAAAAATTTGTTAGGGGTTACCATTCCCTTTCATCCTATTCTCTGAACAAGATTAATAAGATGTTCAATGTCCATATTCTAAGCACAAGGATGAGATAACATTCAAAACAGATTGTCAATCCTTAAACAGTAGCCAAATGCTAGAATATGTTTCTTTAAACAATATCTTTTTTAAATTCAAAAGTAGAAGTAATAAGTATTTGAAATTTGGAAAATGAATCCTATAGAATGTTATTAGAAAAGCAATGATTCATAGATTTATAATAAGTTTTTATTTTTTAACATGAGTTAATTTACATTTAATAACATTTATAAATATGTCAAGTCACCACAAGCTTTGGGTTCTAAATTCTTTCTCCTTTGCTGTAGAATTTTTATGAGAATTTTTATGATCATTTAACTAATTGATAGAATTTTTTTTTAAGATTTTATTTATTTGGCAGAGAGAGAGAGCCAGAGAGCACAAGTGGAGGGAATGGTAGAGGGAGAGGGAGAAGCAGACTCCCAACTGAGCAGGGAGCCTGATGCAGGGAGGGATCCCAGGACTCTGGGATCATGACCTGAGCCGAAGGCAGATGCTTAGCCATCTGAGCCACCCAGGTGCCCCTAATTGATAGAACTTTTTAAATGACTAGGAATTCAGGACGCCTGGGTGGCTCAGTTGGTTAGGCGACTGCCTTCGGCTCAGGTCATGATCCTGGAGTCCCGGGATCGAGTCCTGCATCGGGCTCTCTGCTCAGCAGGGAGTCTGCTTCTCCCTCTGACCCTCC